ACCTCCCAGAACATTGTTTTGTGCCACGCCCAACAGAAATAACCCAGGTGGATAACTTCAGCAATAAGGAGCTGCTCAGTTGCTCATAGACAATCCCACCTTGGAGTTTACAAAGACTTATGGGTAGAAAAGCCACACTAAGTAATTTACTACACCGCACTCACTTACCCACCACTTACGGATAGTTTTGTCACAGTTTTGGTACAATTTCCTAACCTTTTTGGGATTAGTTGTGTTTTGTGTTACATAGCTATCATCATTTTTATATACATTTTTGAATCAGATTAACTTTATTTTATGTTGCATAGTTATGACTATTCTTTAAGAAATATTTTTATATCTAGCTTTTACACTTGTTATATTTTAAGGCCTCTTTGATATTTGCAAAATAATGTATATGTCTGTGTAAGTTTACTTATCTGTTCTACTTGTATTAGATATTTTAAAAACCCATTGCCTCAAGTCAATTCTGACTCATAGCAACCCCCATTGGGTTTCCAAGGTGGTAAATCTCTTTGGAAGTAGATTGCCCTGTCTTCCTTCTGTGGAGCAGCTGGTGGGCTTGAACTTCCAACCTTCTGGTTAGAGTCAAATGCCTTAGGCACTGCTCTATTTTTTGCCATTATGAGTAGCAGTGGGATGACACATTTAGACATAAAGCTTGTATAATAATTTCTTAGCACTGTATACCTTCTTTAAAATTTGTATAAACGAGTTGTGGATCTATATGAGACCTGAACATAGCAGGATAAACGTGAGTCCTTGGATAGTGAATAGAATGGAATCCATAAGATGGATGTATATGAATACTCTGGCCAGGTAGAAGAGGTGTTCATGAGCGATTTGAAAAGTTACTCTTTGCCATCTTTTGAACTGTCTGAACCAATGAACTCTTACACAGCATGAAGTCTTCATAATGTGTTATTTTTTCCCAGGGCTCCGAGGAGAAAACGGTCGTGTATGTCGTTGGGAAGGCGGGCCGTCAGCACTGGCAGCACGTATACACTGCAGTGACCAGGGGCCGCTCTAGAGTGTATGTCATTGCAGAAGAGTCTCAGCTCCGGACAGCGATTAAGAGAGGCAGCATTCCCAGAAAAACACGTTTAAAACACTTTTTGCAAAATAATCTGCTCTTCTTGAGCTGTACATCTCCAGCAAAGTTTCCGTCCTCGTCAAAAAGCTGTGAAGAAAGTGGAGAAGCTTGCACACAGCCATCAGCATTCCCATTCCCTGCAGGGACTGAGGACACTGGTACAGATGACATTACTGAAAGCAGAGCCTCTACACCTGACGGTTGTTTCACTTATGCTAGAAAAAGTCAATTTTCTTCATCCGATGAAGTGGATACAGATGAGAGTCCATCAAAAGCACAAGGGTTCAAAAGAACCTGTGGTGTGAATATTGATGAAAGTCCAAGCAAAGTTTTTATGGTAGGAGTGATGTTGTACTAAAATATTGCTAACTTCAGAGTGCTTATAAATGACCGCACATTTTTATTAGTGTTCTATTGTGCTGGGAGATCTTGTGGCATAGTGCCTAAGGCATTTGACTGCTAACCAGAAGGCTGGCGGTTCAAACCCACCAGCCACTCCTTGGAAGGAAGGTTGGGCAATCTACTTCCGTAGAGATACTGCCTCAGAAACCCAAGGAGGGGTCACTATGAGTCGAATTGACTCAATGGCAGTGAGTTTGCTTTGGTTTTGGTGTATTTTCCTGTAGGTCTTAAAAACACAGCTGTTCTCTCTTCCCTGTCAAACTTCCCCTCTCTTCTGCCCAGCTGATAATAGCATTCTTCCTCTCTGTGCTTGAGGCTGCCACTCTGTGCAGCCTCCATCCATTGATGCCAGAAGAAACCTCTTTGTCCTGCACTGTCTTCCTGTATATCTCCCTTGTTCCCTCTTTCCCATTCTCTAAGAGTTGGCCTGACAAAGGGCACAGCATGTGAGATATTGACACAATCAGCAACTACAGGTATAGGACAGTGGCTGGAACAGAGTGCAGATGGGGAGTTATAGGGGTGACTATTCACAAGAATAGTCAGGACAGAAGAAGACTTCTAAAGAGGTTAGACTTACTTCTGATTGCAGTGGAGCACAGTTGAAGCATTTTACGAATTCTGTGAATTGATAAGACTTGAAATATATATAGGTGACTTTGAGTATAAGTTAATGGATTATGTATGGGCAGTGAGATACTAGGAAATGAGTTCCCAGCAATTTCAATAGTCTGGACAAAATGATCAGGCTCTAACATTAGATAGTAGCAGTGGAGAGGGCAAAGAGATGCTGAGGGGCAGAGGTGATGGGACTTGGTGATCAGTTAGATTTGGGTGGGGTTGGGCCTGGATGACTTTTGGGGTTCTGGCTTGGACATCAACATGGATATCAGGTTTTGTGGGGAAAATGATTAGTTAAAATAGTCAAAAAAAAAAAAAAAAAAAACCCAAACTCACTGCTGTCGAGTCAATCCTGACTCATAGTGACACCTCCTTGGGTTTCTGAGGCAGTATCTCTACGGTCATTAAGTATTACAGATCAACTCTTTGAAAGGAACTGCTCAGAAAAACATTTTTGTTTGTAATTAAATTTGTCAACTCTTATAAAAACCTTGCAAAGAAAAAGCCATTTTCTAAAACTTTTTTATTTTCTAGCACAACATGGGTTGGAGAATTATGGTTAATATGATGTTATAAAAGTGGTACAAAGGTAGTACCCATTGTAGTACCACTCTACCCTCAGTTCTGAGCTTGCCAAAGCTTTCAAGCTCTAACCGAAACCAATATTACAAAAGGTCTGTGAAGACAAAGAGTAACAGTCCAGCAGTGGCTGATGTCACTGCATAATGACAGAGTTCTGTAACTTAAAGAATGTTTTCTCACAAAGTTTGTCAGAAGTATGTGACATTTGCAGGAATCCCTAGAAATGAAGAAACTAGGAGTTCAAAGCCACAGGTCTGATAAATGCAGGATTTCTGTGTTTTGGTCATTCTAGACTTTCAGGTGCATTGAACCTTGTAATTTCTGATCAAGTTCAATGACAAGGGGCTGTCATATTATCCATCCTATCCTTCATATTCACATTGTTACCAAAGAGCCAAATCAGCATTTGAATTCTCTAATTACTAAACACTTCCTAAGTGGAAGCTTTTATACTTCCCCACGGATTACTATCTGGGTTTTGGAGAGAAAAAGAGCTTTAAACAGAAATTTTGATTTGATTTTTTTTTTTTATTAATATCCCCTTCCTTCCTCCCCAAAAAAAGAAAACAGAAATGTCCCTTTAGAAGAACGCATATGGATAAACATTGCTAACATTTTTCATATAAAGCAATGATTCCCATAATAACCAGGGGGGTCATAATTACATAATCCCTGAATAAGGGACAGTCCTTTAAGTTGAACATATTTAGGAGCCCTGTTGGTGCAGTGGTTAAAGTGCTCAGCTGCGAAATGAAAGGTTAGTCGTTTGAACCTACCAGCCATTCTGCGAGCAAAAAGACCTGGGGATGTGCTCCTGTAAAGACCAAACCAAACGCATCGCTAGCAATCAATTTCAAGTCATAGCAACCCTCTAGGACAGAGGAGAACTGCCTCAGAGGATTTCCAAGGTTGTAATCTTTACTGCGGAGGAATATGATTGTGGCGTAGCAGTGATTTGTCTTACCACACCCAGGGCTGGCTTCATAGGCATGCATGCTATGGAGTCCAACAGCACCCTGTGCTTTGAAGGACCCCATGCTGGGTTTACTGCTCTGTTATTACCATCTTGAAATTCTTAAGTGTTGAACAAGGGACTTACATTTGCATTTTGTACTGGTCTGCCAAATGTTGAGGTAGACTCTGACCACACCTCCTTTAGAAGTTAAACACATGTATTCATTCAGCAAATACTCTGGTGTTTTACATGCTAGACCCAGAGCTAGGTGCTGTACCTGGGTGAGCAAAAGCAGACCTGGTCCTAAAGTAGCTGGCAGCCAGTAGTTCAAGTCTGCTCAAGTCTTTCAAGGGGTGAGGAGTGATGTATGATGTCTTCAGAAGCAGAAAGAACAGAAGTGCAGACAGTAGACTAACTACATTTTCACAACATTAACTTTATATTTGGTTATTCTAACAGGTGGAAGGATCATCTCCGCAAGTATCTTCCAAACTTCAGAATTTAAGACTGAATACTAAAATCCCCAGGCAACTTTTCAAACTCACAAATCATCAAGAAACTTAATTTTTTCCAGCTTACTCAAAATTACTGTCTTTTTTTTTTCTTTTTCTTTCAAGACAAAATGAAACATCATGGCTTCGACGTATCAAGATAAGAGGGTATCTGAGTGGAGTTTTATTTTCTGATATTTGTGTTAGCAGATGGTTAAAACACATTTGATCAAAGAAACCTGAATGATGTCAACATGTGTTATTGTGGGAACTGTTACAGCACTGGACATAAAATGAGGGGGAAAAGATGATTTAAAAAAAAACCAAAACTTTGTACTTAAAATGTGTCATTTTTAGTATAATGGCTCATTAACTGCCATAATCATGGTGGGTTATCTTTGCCAATGGGTTGAAGCAATGGTAAAGATAAACTGTAATTGCATCTGTTGAGTTTACTGATTCACCTTCCAGGACATCATGTCTTCTGGTTATCTCGCGAGGCTGCTGCTCACTCCAGCACACCCGCACCTGGGACTTCTTCTTGGAATTGCCTTATTTTGAATATATTACACTTAGGAATTTTTTTTTTAATCTAAGAGTGATTTGAGTACTTTAGATTTTTATTATTAAACAGTTAATTAGGGAAAATGTACCTGCTATCCCAATTTTTAAAATAGATTTATTGAGATATAATTCATGTGTCATTGCAATTCACCTATTTAAAGTGTACAATTTACACTTTTAATTTGGCTTTTAGGCTGTTCACAGAGTGGTGCATCCATCACCATAGTTAAATTTAGAACGTTCGCTTCATCCCCCAAAGAAACCCTGTGCCCCTTAACTGCAGTACCCTCATCCTCTCTAGGTAACCACTAATCTACTTTCCGTCTCTGTAGATCTGCCTGTGCTGGACATTTTATGTAGATGGAATCATACAATACATGGTTCTTTGTTACTGGCTTCTTTGACTTAGCCAGTATCTTCAAACCCCCTTTGGGCTTCTGAGGTGGTAAATCTTTACAGAAGTAGATTGCCCAGTCGTCGTTCTGCAGAGTGGCTGGTGGATTTGAACTGCCAACCTTTTGGTTAACAGTCAGATGCCTTCAGCACTACACCACCAGAGCTCCTTATGTTGTACCATATATTAATGCATTCATATGTATTGCTGGATAGTATTCCATTATATGGATATTAATCAGTTGGTGGAGATTTGGGTTCTACTTTCTGGCTGTTAAGAATCATGCCACTATGAACACTCATATACGTGTTTTGTATGGACAAGTGTTTTCATTTCTTTGGGGTAAATGCCTAGCATTGGAGTTGCTGGGTCATATGATAACTCTGTGTTTAAACTTTTGAGCAACTGCCAGACTGTTTTCCAAAGCAGATGTACCATTTTATATTTCTGTCTGCAGTGGATGAAGGTCCTGATTTTTCCATATCCTTGCCAACACTTAGTATTATCTGTCATTTTCATTATAGCCATCCTAGCAGGAGTTAGGACCTCCGGTGGTGTAGTGGTTAAATAATTTGGCTACTAGCCAGGTCAAGTGATTTAAACCTACCAGTTAACTCTGTGAGATAAAGATGAGGCATTCTGCCTTTGTAAAGATTTATAGCCTTGGAAACCCTATGGGTCAGTTCTACTCTATCCTGTAGGGTCATTATGAGTTGGAATTGACTCAGTGGCATTGGGTTTAGTAGGAGTGAAGTGATACCTGATTATGGCTTTGATTTACAAATGACTAATGATGTTGAAGGAGCTCTGGTAGCATAGTGGCTAAGACACTTGACTGCTAACCAGAAGGCTGGCGGTTCAAACCCACCAGCCACTCCTCGGAAGGAAGGTTGGGCAATCCTACTTCCGTAGAGATACTGCCTCGGAAACCCAAGGAGGGGTCGCTATGAGTCAGGGCTGACTCGATGGCACATAACAACAACAACAACAATGATGTTGAGTACTTTATCTTGTGTGTTGGCCGTTTGTATGTCCTCTTTGGAGAAATGTCTATTTGGAGATCCTTTGTCCATTTTTACATTGATTCTTATTGATTTTTATTATTGGGATATAAGACATTTTTCTATATTCTACAAGCAAGTCCCTTAACAGATACTAATTTGCAAAAATTTTCTCCCATTTTTGTGATTGTCTTTCCACTTTCTTGGTAGTAAAAAAAAAAGTTTTAAATTTTTATCAAATGCATTGTGTCTATTTTTATTGTTATTACTGCTTGTGCTTTTGGTGTTATGTCTTACAAGCCAGTGCCAAATCTAAGGTCATGAAGATTTAATCTTTTTTTTTGTTGTTGTTCTAAGAGTTTAGTAGGTTTAACATTACTTTTTTTTTTTTTTTTAACTTTTTGTGATTTCTGTGAAAGTTTACTGAGTAAATTTGTTTTCCATTTGATAGTTCATACACATTTTGTTTCATGACATTGGTTGAATACTCACAATGTAACCGCACTCTTCTCACTTCCCTGTAGTTACTATTTCCCTTTGTCCATCTTTCCCGTTCCTTCCTGAATTTTGAGCTTTATCCCTGGGCACATGCTGCACATTTAATCTCTTATGGTTGATTGTTTTAAGGAGTGCATACCTTCCCAGTGTTATTGTTCACCTCCTAAGTCTGTCTATTATTTGGCTGTGAGTTGAGCCATAGAATGACTTAAGTTCCAGGCTTGATGGGTGACTAAAGGCCATAGTCTTGGGAATTCTACCGGTCTCAGACCAGTAAGCTTGGTCTTTTTTATGATTTTGTGTTTTGTTCCACATTTTTCTTCCACTTTATCCAGGACCTCCTAATGTAACCCCTTTCAAAGTGGTTGGCAGTAGTACCCAGGCACCATCTGGTTCTTCTGGTCCTCACAATTGTGAAGGCTGAAGTTAACATGGCCCACTAGTCCCTTGGACTAATTATTTTCGTGTGTCTTTGATTTTCTCCACTCTTCTTTGCCCCAGATGAGAAGAGACCAATAGTTACACTTTTGATGACCACTCACAGCTTTTAAGACCCCAGTCACTATTCACCAAAGTAGAGTGTTCAACAATTTCTTTTTGTACTATCTTAGGCTGATCAATCTTGATGTTCCCCATGGCTATGGTCCTGACTTCACAGACCGTTAGCTTTTAAATTTAGGTCTTTGATCAGTTTTGAGTTAAATTTTGCATATGGTGTAATGTAGGGGTTCAGCTGCATTCTTCTGCATGTGGACATTTAGTTGTACCAGCACCATTTGTTGAAGAGACCATTCTTTCTCCACTGAACTGTCCTGGCAGTCTTGTCAAAAATTAAAAAAAAAAAACAGCTGCTGTTGAGTCAGTGCTGATTCATGGCAACCTCATGTTGCCATGTATTGGAGCAGCACTGTGCTCTGTAGGGTTTTCAATGGCTGATTTTTCAGAAGTAGATTATCAGGTCTTTCTTCAAGGTGCTTCTTGGTGGACTTGAACCACCTACCTTTTGATTAGCTGCCAAATGCATTAATCGTTTGTACCACCCAGGGACTTCTGTCAAAAATATTTGAACTGTAAATGTGAGATTTTATTTCTGGACTCTCAGTTCTAATCCTTTGATTTATATGTCTATCCTTATGCCAGTACAGCTTGTCTTCATACTGCAGCTTTGTTGTAAATTTTGAAATGGGGACACGTAAGTTCTTTACCGTCGTTATTCTTTTTCAAGAATTTTTTTAGCTATTCTGGGTCCCTTCTATTTCCATGTGAAATTTAGGATTAGCTTGTCAGTTCTGCAAAGAAACCAGCTGGCATTCTGATGAGCATTGCAGTAAATCTATAGATTTGGGGTATATTGGCGTATATTAATGGTAGTTAATGTTGTATGTCATCCTGCCTGGGCTGTGGTTTTGACTGGCTTGGAAGCTGAATGTAGTTATTCCCCATGGTGAGATTATGATCACCTCCATGGTAGAATCTGCTATGAGCAGCTGAATTGAAGGGGAGTTGTCTTTGGGGTGTGGCCTGTTTCCAGTATATATGGGGAAGCTTTGAGAATGGTTTTAGCTTTGTGGAACATTTTGCATCCTGCATTTGGCCAAGTCTTCATCTCTAGTTCCTGGACTTGAACCAGTGCCCTGCTGAATTGCCTGCTGATCTTGGGATTGTGCCATTTGTTTCATCTGCTGATCTTGGATTCATTAGCCTCAGCAGGCAGCAGCTGCATAAGTTGGGAGAAGCCTCCAACTCCAGCAGGCCTGGAACAAGAGGCAAAGCTAAAGCCCACTGTTGAGGGGACTTCACCCAACTCCTAGAGCTGGCACTCTGAATTTAGACTTCTAACTTCCTAAGTTGTAAATGAGTAAATACTTGTTCATTAAAGCTATCCATTTGTGGTATTTCAATTAAATTCTGGTTTACTAAAGCCTTCCAAGTGTGGTATTTCTGTTATAGGAGCATTAGAATACTAAGACTATTGCCATCTTAACAAAAATATGTCTCTTTTTTTAATAGAGGTTTATTTATATTTAGATATTTTTGTTTTGTTTTATTTTTAATAGTGATGTGAATGGAAGTTTACAGAGCAAATTCGTTTTCCATATAACAGTTCATATGCATTTTGTTTCATGACACTGATTACAGTTCCCATAATGTAGCAGCTTTCCTTCCACTTCCTCCCTGTGGTTACTTATTTTCTGTGTCATTCCCTTGCACATGGTCCTGCCCTCTGATCGGATCCGACTTGATGGCAGTGAGTTTGGTTGTTTCGGCATTTTTTTGAGCTATCTCCCTGCACAAATAATGCCCTTCAGGTCTCCCATGGTTGATTGTTCTCAGAAGGTTACGTACCTTCTTAAATGTGTACCTTATATGCCTGTCTCTTGTTTGGCTGGAAGCCCTGGGAGTGAGTTCACTTCCAGGCCCAAAGGGTGACTAGAGCCCTATAGTCTCTGGGGTTTCATCAGTTTCTATGAGACCAGTAAACCTGGTCTTTGTTAGGATTTTGAGCCCTGTTCCACATTTTTATCCCACTCTATCTGGGATCTCCTACACTGATCCCTCTCTGAGTGGTTAACAGTGGTAACAGGGCACTATCCAGTTCTGGTCTCAGGGTCATAT